TTTTGTTTTTGTGACGAGACAAAATCTTTATTTCACGAAATAACGGCGTGCAGCCACACCTGTCACGATGAACCGCTAGGTTTCCTGAGGGCGAGGAACGCAAAGAAAGGGAATGTTCCCTTGCCCTTACGTTTACACAACGCCCAGTTTGACCAATATACACCCTGCCGCAGGACAGGGGGATCTGGTACACGACCCCGCTTACAGAAGCGACGTACGGGGTGCGATGTTTGACGTCGCACACAACGGAAGGGCGTCCCTCTCTACTAACAGCAGCACAAAGGTGTGAAAGCTTAGATGGCGCCGAGAAGACGACAGGCACCTCAAACCTACCGGCAACGCGCTTAATTCGGTGGGCGCTTAATTCGGTCCCACCGAATTAAGCGCGTTGCCGGTAGGTTCGAGGTGCCTGTCGTCTTCTCGGCGCCATCTAAGCTTTCACACCTTTGTGCTGCTGTTAGTAGAGAGGGACGCCCTTCCGTTGTGTGCGACGTCAAACATCGCACCCCGTACGTCGCTTCTGTAAGCGGGGTCGTGTACCACATCCCCCTGTCCTGCGGCAGGGTGTATATTGGTCAAACTGGGCGTTGTGTAAACGTAAGGGCAAGGGAACATTCCCTTTCTTTGCGTTCCTCGGCCTCAGGAAACCTAGCGGTTCATCGTGACAGGTGCGGCTGCACGCCGTTATTTCGTGACATAAAGATTTTGTCTCGTCACAAAAACAAAACTGCGAGGGAGATAGACGAAGCGTATTTTATCGCGTCTATCGGAGCTGACACGTGTGTGAGCGCTCCTTCGGTTGCCCTTGCAAATGACGAGGTGGATTTTGTAAGAAAGTGTGGCAGGTTCGTGTGACGGAGCGTGGGCGTGGGTGATGCCGCATGTTATTGGTTTGATTTGTTTGTTCTCTCCCCTTCATCCTTTCTGTGTTTATTTCTCTTTCTGCAGAGCAATAAACTTTCAGTTGTAAGTCAGCACCCTGTCTGTGTGTTTCTTCGACCTCGTCCTACGCCCTTTTTGCGCTGTTCCCTCCAAACAGTATGTACCACCAACTAGCCCAAGTACATGCCTTGCTGGGTAGCACTCCCCGGAACGGAAGCAAGACTAGTGGCGCCCATCAGTATGCCAAGCTTGCGGAGGGCGTAGAGCAGGGGAGAGATGGTCTACGAAAACTCCCTATTAATCGAAACTTTTGTTCAGATCATATTGTCAGAAAGGCAACACGGTATGACCACCGTCAATGTACGAATATAAACTATGTGTTGTTGACATACAGGGAGCCATGAAACACATATAAATGTTGCGGAGTCAATTGTTTCTGCTCTTATTTTTTACTATATTACATAAAAATATGTACGACATATAAAAAAACGGAAACCCTATATAGTTTAAGGCTCAAACCTGAAATAAGAGTTGATAACTTATGGCTTCAAGTCGACACGTGCACCAAATAACACGTTTATTAAAGTATAGACGTATAGCACGAATTCATATACTTAAATTGAAGTCTTTTATTTTTTTAGTTTGAATTGATTTTCAGCCGAAATTAAGTTTTGCTCATAAATTTAAGATCAACCCCTGTTTCAGACGTACTGCTACGACAAGTACGCATGTAACCTGCATTCAGCCACAGTGTGCAACTTTAATTCTACCACAGCGTGCATCCCTACAACACGCACTTGGCATTTAAAATTCACGCACTTTGCGGGATTCCTCTTTGTCTTTAATCATATTGCTCAACACATTGTTGTTGCTGAATCGTATAATATATCTATTATTTTTTTTATTCTTTCGATTTGTTTTTGTTTGGCACTTCTGCTTTAGGCTTATCTGGGAAACAAAACAACTCGATATTTGTTCCGCTCTGGTCACGGTCACCCTCCACCAACATTCATTCTTTATTCAGTTCAGGGTTTTTGTTCTTTCCAAACAAAAAATAAATAAAAAAAATAAAGAAACTACGCTGACCATTAGAGACTTGGGTGAAACGTTCCATAACACGTATTTGATCCATATACATTAAATTTTTCATCGAAACCTTGTTAAGAAGAAAAAAAAAAGTTTTAGTCCTACAACGAATTCATAGAAGGGAAGTCGACGCGTTATGTTGCCTAATCATCCTACGAAATGTCTTTTCTTTTTTTAAATATCAACTCTTTGTTTCGTCTTGTTCTCCACCTCGTTTTCTGGCCTATTGCCCCGACCAATGACGCGTGAAAGGTTTCTCGCGGGCACCAAATTACGGGCAGCCAATCAAGGAGGCTCGGAAGTAGGCCAGTGCGCGCAGCTCGGAGCGACGTGCATAGCCGTTTGACGGACTGCAGTAGACGCTACGAGCCATCAAAGCCAATCCAATACCGCGTGATACTCACGTGACCCCTGGTTGAGGCAGAGCGACGCCGAGCAAAGCGTGTAGTCACGTGATACATTCAGAGCGCCGGATTGGCTGGGACGGCTCGCGGCCTCCGCGGCGGTCCATCGTAAGGGGAAACGGACTGTATAATGCGACACGTATATTCGCGACCCGTCCGTCGCTTCGTCCTGTCCTGTCCCCCGGGTCGTCGTCGTCGCCGGTAGCTCGTGTTTTGTCGTGCGCCGCCGAGTCAGTCGCAGGGCGGAGCAACGGCCCCGAGATCCAAGCGCCCCACCCAGTCCATTTCGTAGATTGAATTCTGCTAATCGTTTCTTTCTTCTTTTCTCGAAACACTGCGGGATTTTCCCTGGCTTCCGCGTAACGAGAGCGCAGTGCGAAGTTGACTGTCTCGTCGTTATGCCGAGGGGGGAGGGGGGAGGGGGGGTGGCGGTCCGGGTTGCCATGATTTTGCCAGGGATCTCGTGACATATCGTACACATGGGATATGTGATGTATGAAAGGACTGCTCGTGTACATGCAACTTCATGCCCCCCCCCCCCCCCCCCTGCCTCCCTCCCTCCGCCCCCCAAATTTGCGACCCTGTCAAATCGTCCCCCCAAAAACGGTGTTGCAACTCGCGGGCTATGCGGAACGCAAGTTGGTCTGCTTCTTTTGCAGGGGTTGTGGTGACGTCAGAATGCTGAGGCCTGATTGGCTCTGATTAGAGGATAGTGGGTAGACCTTAAGGCAGCTTGCTTCGAGGTCTATCCACTATCCTAGAATCAGTGCATTTCAGAATTCGGCGTCGTTCTGACGTCACCACAACCCCTCACTCTAAAAAAAGTATGTGCGTCTACCGTCACGAACAACACTCGGAGAGCCAATTAGCGCAACTTACGGAGGCAGCTCAGTGAATGTAGATGCCGAAACGTATGTTTAGACCAGGGTGGTAGACCAAAAAACGCAGTCTGAGTTGAGACATTAAGCAATGCAAAACGTAACGCTTGCATTGCTTAATGTCGCAACTCTGACTGCGTTTTTTGTTCTAAACATATGTTTCCACATCGTCATTCGCTGAGCTGCCTCCGTAGGTTGCGGTGATTGGCTCTCCGAGTGGTGTGTGTGAAAGTAGACTTACAAACATTTTTTAGAGCGCTGTGCAAGAAACAGACGACTTGCTCTGCGCACAGACCGTTTTCGTGCGACGGTGGCCACGTTGAAGTATGGCGTAGTTGTGTCGGGACACACACAAAAAAAGTAAATTGCAGTAAATTGTTCAACCGTAAGTACTATTAAAAATATAGAACTAGGGACACAACCCCCTTAATTCTATAGCTTCTTCCAATCGGAAAATGAAGTGACTTCGTATTCGGCCCCAACCCAGCCATGTTAAAACTCAACATGGCGGCCGTAAAAAAAAAAAAAAAAAAGGAAAAAAGAAACGTTTTATAAGATCCGACGCGGAGTCAATCAAGCAAAGCTAAAAGTGCATCGTCATCACGGTGGTTGTCGTGCGTTTTCTGTATCATCAACTAAAGCCAAATACACCCAGGGCACGTGCCCTGATCCTGCGCTTTTTTTTTCTTCGTCTTCCCGTGATTGGTTTAGCCGGCGATCGCAATTATGCAAATATAAGTAAAAACGCGAGCCGTGACAATGCACATTTTGGCGCTGCTTGATTGGTTCCGTCGGATCCTATGTGGAGCGAAAGTTCGTCTGCATCTTTGCAGGGGTTGCGATGATGTCAGAACGCCGACCTCTTATTGGCTGATTGAAAAAAAAAAAAAAAATAGTGGGTGCCTAGCATTTAGATCTACCCACTATCCTTCCAATCAAAGCCAATCAGAGCTCGGCGTTGTTCTGACGTCACCTTAACTTCTGTGCTTCAAGCAGACGACTTTCTATCCTCATAGGGTCGATATTATGTTAATGGTAGGAACATTTCAATGCGCGGCTTGAACGCGATGTCATCGCACTAGATTTGGGGGGTCATTCCTTTCGTCCTTGCTGGTGAAAAGAGAACATTTCAGTGAGGTCAATTAAATAACTGTTGCAGAAGGTATACGTGCTCAGCGGCTGAAGACCACCTTAATTGCCGCCGCTGATGTGACGTCAATGCGAACCGTGTGCTGACGTCATATAAAAGACAGTATAGAGACTCTCCAAGATGGGTGTTTCTTTCTTGTGTGGCGATCCTGTTACGTACTGTTCATACAAAAATTATCTACATACATGTTCGAAGTATATGTATGAAGAATTAAGACACGCTTGGTGGAATTTATATTAGTGAAAAAAAAAAAAAAAATCTTAACAGCAAAAAATAGTAGATACTGTTTCCTTTCTTGGTGACAAGTTTTTATCGCTGAAATAGATTTTATAGGCGCCCACAATGTCATTTCTTCTTTTTCTTTGACGATATTAGCCTCTCAATTACCTTATGATCCAGATAACATATAGTGTTTTCACACTTCGCGTTCTATCTTAACCGCTAGCACCACATTATCATTGAATTCGGGCTTTCTGTGATGTATAGTTTATTAACCCGGGCAGAAAAACACAGTTCGCTTTTCTCGGGAACTTCCCATATACATTAATTAATTAACGCTCCTAAAAAAACGGGCTGTTTTCTTCTTTTTAGTTAATAAGCATGGATTTGGACGTCAGAAGAGAACAACACTTACCGAGGAAAAAAGGCAAACCGAGAAGAGCTCGCAAGCAGTCGACAACCAGCAAAGAACACGAGGCGGGTGACACCAAGGACGCCGATCGCAGCGAGCAGAGGACCGGGTCGGTTTCCGACGAGCAGACTTCGACGCCGACCGACAAGAATCAGGGTCCACCGAAAAACAAGGCGGCGTCTTTGATGCAGCAGCACCGCACTGCCTGGCAGAACGAATTCCAGAAACTGCGGGACGCCGAAGAAAAGCTCAAGAACGACATCGTCGACAAGCTTAGGTAAAGAAACTGATTGCCATTTCTTATCGGTGTCGTTGTCTGTGCTATGCGCCATTGCATTTTAACGTCACATGAGTATTTCTAATGGCAGTTCAATTCTCTAGTCTTGTATGACAGGTAAAAACTATGGTGACTCTTCCTGAACTCCTCTCTATATAATGTAGCTCTAACTTTGATGAACGAAGCTCGCCATACACAGACCACGCAGAGAAAGAGAGAGAGAGAGCAACATATATTTACCCTATAGTTGGATGGTGGAACTTCAACAAATATCAGCTGATAAAACGCCTTACAGTTCCTAGCATATTTGGATACTTAAGAATGTGCCCAATAAGCATCACCGTATTAGCCACGGTTTCGAATCCCTACGCGAACCGACCAGGCCCAGCTGGGGATTCGTATTATTACGCAGCAGCCTCGATAGCGGACCATTGGCGCATCGCGGATGAACAGCGGCTGGTGGTAATGAAGGTGTGTAAGGAGCTTCTGCGCATTTTTAACTTTCACCTGGTAATATACAGACTATAACCCACCACAGCCATAACTAATCCACAAAAAATCGCCATTCGTCCTATTCGCAACTCCAGCGGAATGCGTTTAATCCACTTTCCTTTGTTTCACATTTCGACCGCCAGGCTGCTCCAGTTTTTGCTGAACACTGGGAGCTCCCTGCTTCACTCGTTCGCGCCCTTTCCGCTGAGTGGCGAAGCTTCAGTTTCGAATAGTATAACGGCACGGTGGCTAGCCATTATGCCTTGTCGCTTAGCTGGTTGTTTCCCAATGGGCAATGAACTTTGGTTTGGCAGGTTGCGCCATCTTATGCGTGGTTTTATCAACTCTTGAGTCGGTCCGCAGCCGCAATCATGGGATCCGATCTCGAGCTCAAATCTCCGAGTGCCCTGGCAAATGCAGCGCGCGTGTCCGATCGTTCGGAGGCTTCCGAACGCTGCCCATTTTGGCCACCAGGCGCACTGACTAGGAGCCGACCGAGGCGCCTCCTGTTCACTGCCATGGGGCTATAGCGTGAAAATTCTAGCTGTTTCTCAAGCCTCGATAATTACCCCAGCCTCTTGTGACGCACTATAGATTGCGTTTTCAGTTCAGAGCTCAGACTCCCCCTCACCGTGCGTTCTGCTCAGCTCTTCTGACCTGAACAGGACTCGAACTTTGCTCGGATTCTGAGCTATCTCAAAACTCTATCGATATATATATATATATATTTTTTTTTTCATTCAGCATACAGTTTATTCGAGATCAAAGTAACTTGGTTATATTTTGACCCAAGGTAACTAACCACACATGCTCAGCCGAGACGATAGTTCCTCATTTAGTTCGGGGGCATTTCATAGAGCCAGAGGTCTCGATATTAATAAAGACGTTTTCACCTCTTGCACTTTATTATTTTAATGTCGCAGCAAAAGCGACTCCGAAACGTGCGTAACCAAATAAAAAAAAAAAAAAAAAAAAAAACGTGGTTCACGTTGTTGTTATTATGTGCTCACTTGCAGCAAAAATCCCAGCGTTACCGGCACACAAAACGGCATTCCTGAAGTAGCTCCGATATATAGTGCGTTTCAAAGCAATTACATAAAGCTTCCAGCTTTTATTTACTGCACACATGGGAGAAAACAGAACGAAAGGTTGTGTTCTTCAGGCGAGAGCCCCATTATCAAAAGTGGCGATACCGCGTGGCTCCAAATAAAATACCGCATAAAAAATCAAACACATCACGGTGTATTAACTTAGAAAGAATACCAACGCGCTCGTTGATCCAATGTTAAAAAAGTTACCATCACTTCAAGAAAAAAACAATCTATAATTTTTAAAAAATTTTATATTTAGGTATATATCTTCAAGAGGAACTTCTTCCGATGACGAAGCAGGCCAGTGTCTCGAAGATTGGATTGATTTCGAGCTTGAAAGAACGAAATTTGAAGACAATTCATCTTCAAGAATAGGACTATTCAGGTAAGTTTCTTCCCACATTTAACCCTTGGCCTGGAGTCGCGTCCTACTTACGTTCGCTTGTCCCGGGCATTCTATAATCGCGCCGCAGCCAATATTCAACCCTTTCCAAAATTGTGAAATTATGCATAGAGTATGCACAGCCGCCATTAGTTGGTCGTATCAAGGCCGGCGTGAAGCCCGTGATTGGTTCCGAGTTGCGCCGAGCACTGGCGCAGCACTTGTGTAGAATTCATTTCGATCCGAGTGCATTCCGAATGCTGACGAAGCGCTCGTATCCAATGCGTGCTCACAATGCATGACCAACTAATGGCGGCCGCACATAATCTATGCATCCTTTCGAAAAGGGTCTATACCGCGGCATTTGACGATAAGAACTCCCAAGAAAGGATCACGAAGGAAGATGCGGGCACATAATAGGCGACGCCCTGTGTTTCTTTAGTTGTCAGCGACCGTATAAGAGTTGAATGACTCACGTATAAGAGATGCAGTGTCGAAGGCAATTGGTTAGATACGTAAAACAAACAAGGAAGCTATGGACTTAGTTCGACGTGAGCGCGTTGGCGAAGTTAAAAAAACAGAAAGAATAAACATATATCTTTCGTGTTGTTCTGTCCGTCCCTATGTTTATTCTTTGTGTTCTTATGAAACTATGAAGGCTGCCGAAGAGAGAACGACAGTTAGGGCAAGCATCCAGTGGCATCACCAGGGTCAGCGGCACCTGGGGGCGGTGGCCCGCGGCGATACCAGCACATCCCAGTCATTTCTGTATTCAACAACTTACACCGTACTGAACTGGGGTGATAGATAAAACTTCCGTAAAAATTCGTCGGCCCTGTTAAAATTATAATAACAAACAATTACGTACTAATAAGGCAACAGGCAACACCCTGGAACGACCAGCTCACGACTCCACGGCGATACGACGCCATTCTCAGAACTACGCAGTTCATGTATACACATCCAGTACTCTGTGCAACTAGAGTGCCTTCATACACACGCGCGCTTTTCACCCTATGTGCAACTTTCTCTTTCTTTTTCAATTAGCGGATTTGTAGTTTTTTTTAGAAGACACAAAACAATAGGTTTCACCACGGTGGATGAGGAGAGAGGTGTATGAACGGCGCCGTCTCGCCACAGAACAAGTATGTCAAAGATTCGCTCCTATTTCTGACAAGCGCACCGTGAGATGGCACAGCATGACATGAGCTCGAGGAACTGTCCACATACGCGCAGACGTTTTCAAAGCCGCGAGACGCGCGACCGCACCTGTGCGCCGAGCCCCGATTCAACATTGCCCCATCGGTAGATGCGCGAAGCCCGAGTGGAATTCCGGCCCTTTCCTGGCCTTGTTCAAACACCTTTCTCTCCTTCCATCGTGAACCAATCTAAGCTTATATATATATATATTGGTAACAAGACCTCGCTCTTCTCTTACCTCCAGGCGCATCCTGTCCCAGCGGCTAGGGGACGACGAAGAGAGCCCCAGCGAAGAGGAACTCATCAGAGACCTTATCACCGTGCAGCAGGAATGCCGGCAGTTGACCGCTAACCTGAAGGCCGAGTACCTGGAAGCGGATGCCGCCGTAAACACGGCCTTCGGTGAATCCGCCCTGGTCAACGTCAAGTTCAGCTTCTCGCACAACGTGGACTCGGACTTTCAGAGCAGCTTTCGCGGCGAAGACCGTCTGCGGAGGAGCCTCTTGGCCGAACTCAAGCAGATCGACCACAAGTTTGAGACTAAGATCAAGGACATTGACAAGGCCCACAAACTCGAGTGAGTTCAATGATGATGATGATGATGAACATAATGATGATGCTCGAGCGGCTTTTCCCTTTGTATCAGCGAACTCGAAGAATCTTCGCCTCCAGCGCCATTGGTGGCCGAAATGGGAAACATCATATATGATCCCGTGGCCGATCGTTCGGTAGAATTGTGTCACACGTGTCTCCAATCAAATTAATGCACTACTATATATAAAAAAAAATTCTTCGGTTGAAGGTGGTCGCTCGCGGAAAACCGGCACTGTCAGTGCGACCATATAAATGGGGGTAACCGACATATTTGTCACGCCCCCGGTTTTAACTCTCAGCTGGTTTAAATTTCTGCAGAGAATTCTGAAGTAATACATGTTTAAGCTCGTAGCAGTGTAAAAACTGATACGTTTAGAGTAAACGGTACTTTCATATAAACGAAGAAATATAGAACACATTTTAAATTATGTAGTTTTTGTTTTATAGTAGTCGATATGCTCGAGGGGAATGTCATTAGTCCGCCATTGAAAATTGCACATTTCTACAGACTTTGACTCATACATGAAATCCTCGCTAAAGAGCCCAGTAGAAGACTCGCTAACTGGCATGACTTCAAATGAGTTATGAGAGTCCCATTTGTCCGTTCCCTCTGGCAGGGAGGAGCCGGCCGACTGGACCGAGGAAGACTACGCCGTGGTGCAGCACGTCCTGGAACAGTACCCGAGCCAGCTGGCAAACCGAAGGGCTCTCATCATGGACTGGCTGCGAAGGCACTACAAGAAGCGCTCCATACTCGACATCGTGAGTGCCTCTTGAGTGTCGCTTGTCCACCATCACGCCGCACGCACGTGATCCTTGATCTATTTCTTATTCTATCGAAAAGCGTGGGTATACAAGAAACTACACAAAAAGGGACATGAAAAAGCGACATGCAAGTGACATCGTCAGCGTCACGTCACGAGTGACATTACCACGTCACGTGACGAAGCTGTTGTGTCGCGTGACGTGTCACGCGACCATGTGACGTGATGGTGCATGGGGTATACAAGTCGTATTATACAGGAATTTTGTCAGGGATGACCAAAACAAAGCGGCAGGTTTTTTCCTTCAAGCGCGCATTCCAGCTGGAAGTAACCGCCGGGATGCTGCCCTCTGCCCTACCACGTATTGCTGAATCATTAAATTCTCAAGATGAACCATGCTGTCCCAGCTGCGAATAAAGCCGTCTGACTTGTCTTGACCGCGATCGATTGTCTACCTACCGCATAAATAACGTCTACAACACGGTCTAATCATTAACCTGCGACTCGATTGGGAAATGCATGAAGTTCTGAGTGAAGGTTCCTCACAAACCACATAGCCTTATCGGGTTTTTACCAGATATTCATGAGACATTGAAACTTACCGGGGGTGACCGCAAGAAAACGTGTTCCGTCAATAATTGTAAAAAAAAAAAAAAAGCTTTGTTAGAGATGGGAATAGAGCACCCCCATCGTGAATGCATGATTTGAGTTTCATGAGGTGTGACAGCACAATAGCTTGCAAGCACAACAGGAGAGTCAATGCAGGTAATTGGAGTATGATTTGGGTCAATGCTGAAGGAATTCTGTTCTGGTCATGTGCAGTCGGCCTACATGACGTGGTGCCAGAACCAGCGCTTCCACCGGGAAAAGGTGCAGTCCTGCCTCCAGGAGTGGGAGCGGGCGCGTGTCCAGTGGCTGGCGCGGGCCAAGCAGGCCTCCAAGGGGACCTCGCCGCTCCAGAGGAATCCGGCCAAGCTGAGGGTCCCGCCGCCCATCAGGTTAAAACCCAAAAAGGTGCATCCCAGTCGAATCGAGCCTGAGCCGCCGGATGAAGCGACGCCGCGACGGGAACCAGAATCAAGCGGCCGCGGGCCCCAACACAGTAAAATCAATCGATTAATAAATAAAATCGAATGGCTCCTCCAGTATAACCTTGTTTAACTCTTTCCCTTCAAACAGGGGAACTGTAAAAAAAAAAAAAAAAAAGTATGTCAGAGCAAGCGGAGATTTGCTCGAAATAATTCAGCCTTTGCTGGACGAACGACGAAACATTAATGGTCAGCAATATCGGCCCCTCTGGCTGCGTTCGTGATAACATTTTTGTCTCACAGAAGCTGTTAACTTGGCTGCGATTCATTTCAATACCGAGGAAGCTTAAATTACGTCACTTTTTTTTTTCAGTGGAATGTCGACGTTAGGTAACGTAAAAGGCCACAGAGTGGCCGCCCATAAACCAACTGCATTTCATCAGACTCCTTTCAATACATAGAACAATGGGTATTATCTGTTGGCAATTTATCGGACGAGCAGCGCCCGGACCTCGCGTTATTCGATAATCATTGACAGCTACGTTTTCGCCGTTCTTACCGTTACAGAACAATAGTTACGGAACGATAATCAGGTGCTCGGTGCACGCCCGCGTTTTTTTTGACTGTCAATGCCAAGCTGATTCCTCCTCTTTTCCTTTTTCTTTCTCTCCTCACCTGCCTGTCTTTTCCTCCCTGTTCCTTTTTCCCGCTTTCGCCTCTCTTCTTGGCTGCACCTCTCTTCGCCCTCGCACCCCTGTAAAGGCGTCGGCGGCGTCGGCCCCGCTAAAGTCCCTGGCTCCGCCAACAGCCGAGATCCCCAAGAAGACGCGGATCGTGCTGCCGGCCATCGTCCGCGCGCGCAAGGACGTCGGCCGGCCGCCCAAGAGCCAGCACATCGAGCAGGCGGAGAGGAAGATCCGCGAGCAGAACCACGAATGGCGCATGCGGTCCCTCTCCACCGTCTGCGAGCTCGAAGGCCTGCGGATGCAGGCCAACGAGCCTCAGCGCCACGACGACCCCGAGGAACAGGCGGAACAGGTGGCCAAACTGCGCCGAAGACTCGACATGGAAAGGTAGAGTCCCCTGTCCTGCCAGAACACTATACATGGCTTGCACGTGACGCCATCGTGCCGATACTGGTGGTCATGCCTACTTAAAGTTCTTGCCGAGAACACAAAAAAGAAGAAAAAAAGAATCCGCGTAGTGCGAAATGTATGCTGCAGAAAGTACGCGCTCAACAGCAGGGCCACCACAATGGCAGCCATGACGTCAGTGCGCAAATATAGTCGCTCGAAACATACTTATGGAGCTCTTGAGTAGCTGGACACCATCCGACGACTCCATCGATTTCCACTGAGTGGAATCATCGAAGGTGAACCAACACTCGATAACACTCAATGACACCGTCAAGCTACATCGATGGAGTCATCGATGACACCCAATGACCCGTCATTTTTTCTGCAACATATATATAGTGCAGGAGGCACGCCTCTACCAATAGACCCTTTGCAAAACGTACAGCGCCACGACGGCAAGGAATTTTGGGAACCCTTGGTGCAGATCACGCGCTTTCTCGTTACGCCTCTGCGACTGCGCGCTATCCGCCATCCCGCCCATCCGCATAGTCAGGGATGGGCAAAATACATGCAAATATGTATCGAAATACAAATACGAAATACTTTGTCAAAAATGTATTTAATTACAAATCTAATTACATTTCCAAAAAAACATTTCATTAAAAGATACAAATACAACCAAATGTATTTGGTCTCCCTCCAAATACTTTCCCAATTACATTCCTCAAAATTTGCGTCAGCAACTTCAGGGCACCTGCAACGGGTTTCTGGGTATCTCATTTCGATTTTACATCGCACACACGAGAGTTAGTGTGCGAGGTTCTAGTAACGTAATAGAAATATAATCACAAAAAAATGTAATCAGCTTGGACGTAGTAGGTGAAAAAAGTACAGAGCTTCAAGCAGCTTTTTTTGTCGATTACATTTTGGTATCGACCAACAAAGATCCGAGACGACTAAGACGCGCAGCACTAGCTAGAGAATTTTTTTATTGTTGCAACTCGCACCAGTTACGAAAATCTGGACGACCCGAGCATTTAGAATGTTCCAGGTAAACATATGGATGGAAATCAGGCTGGAAAGCATCACAAGTTGTCACAGGCACTTATTTAGCCAGTCTGCCTGTGAACGTCGATTTCGTCACTATTCTTGCCCTGGACTAGCATCGTAAACACAAAGTCAATAAACGCTTGTGCTTGATTGAGAGACACTGCATTCGGTGCAGAACGTAGTTTTCTTCCTGCTCTGGACAGTGACAATAAACTCGAGGGATGCATTTTCGCCCGCAAAATTAGTATTTAAATACACACGTCAAATACATTACCCAATTTGTAATTAAATACAAATGCAAAATACACATAGTATTTAAAATATGTATTTCAAATACTTGTATTTGAAATACTGCCCATCCCTGAGTAGAGTTGTACGTCGTTGGCGGCGTACCGTATCTGTGGCAGCGTAAAGGCATCCCGACAAGTGAACTTATCTTAATACGTTATTCGTCGTAACTTACCTTCACGTATTGAAGTGTCACCGAATCCACTTATTTTGCACCGCAGCCGTTGCAGGTTTCGACCAGGTTCAACAAAGCGTTGGTGCAGCAGACGACAGAGCCGGTACAGAGGAGAGGGATGAGCAGAGAAAGGGGCAGCCTAGAGCCACTAAATGAGCTGCGCTTAGAGTATCGGCACTCCGTTCCCCGACATTGTTGTGGGATCCGCCATTTTGGCTCGTATGCAGAGCAGACGCAACTGCCGATCGTCATGGTTCAAAAGTGCGACTTCCTCAGCATTAGATTCGGTGTTAGAAAGGTCGTGTAACATTGCTTTGCTCTGTCGCGAACTGTTTAAATATTTGTGGAGGGTGGAAAAGCGCTTCCTGTGATTTCAGATAAAGCTTCAGATAACTGGCAACCATGATTTTAAGACACAATATGGCCAAGTGTCGTTACTCTGAAGCGTAGCTTATTTAGTGGCACTAGGGCAGCCGTTTGCTCGTCGCTCGCCCGAATCGGCTGCTCAAAAGTCGTTGCCGTGGTAACCTGCGCCTCCTCGCGTACGCCACGTGGTCACGTGGTAGCGGGAGGAGGCGCGTACCGAGGACTCCCATTATTCGTCGCGCGGCGCGCGCGGGCTTCTGGGATTTTCGCAAAGGGTCTATTGCCAAGCAGTAAGAAAAATTCAGAGTGTCTCTTATGTTATCCCTAAGACGACTTGAAGGCCAAGCGCCGATCTTGATGGTAGCAAACCTCCGAAGACAGCGCGCTCTCTGACGACGAACTTTTGGCACGTCGCACGCCCGCTCTTCACTGATGCTTGAGGGAGAGTATCCTCCTCTCCCTCTGGGTTTGCGCCGCACGCGCGCCTCCGCCGATTCTGGCTCAAGTAACGTAATTTCGTGGTCCATTGGCGAACTGTGGATTTTGGTACCTTTCGTGTCGTCGACGTGTTTTCGCTCAAGGACTTTGAAGGTCGACTGAACGATGAGACATTTAAGGCTTTCGCCTTAATAAAGGAGCTTGTCAACATAGCCACAATTGAAAGCGGACGTCTGTAGTTTGTGAGTGGAATGAGTTCGTTCTTCATTGCATATATTATGTGTCCAAATAGATAAATGGTTTTGACCCATTTTAGAGCGCAGCTCTTAGGGGCCTGTTTTCAGCCTGAGCGGCGTCGCCGTCGGCGCCGCCGTAACCGCGCGTTGCATGCAACTCAGAGGAGATGCAACAGGTTGCATGCAACCTGAGATGCAGCAACATAGGTAGATGCAACAGGTTGCATGCAACCTGAGATGTTACATTTCAGAAAAGATGCAACAAGTTGCATGCAACCTGAGATGCAGCAATTCAGAGGAGATGCAACAGGTTGCATGCAGCAGGTCACGTGACTCCTTAGGTCATGTGACCCCCAGGTCACGTGACCATCGTCACTGATGACGTCATCAGTGACGATCCGGTGCATTATGGGAAATGACGTCATCAGTGACGTCACTGATGACGTCACCGGCATCCTCATCGTCAGCATCATCGGTGATGACGTCATCAGTGACGTCACTTAGGACGTCACCGGCATCCGCATCGTCATCGTCATCATCACTGATGGCGTCATCGGTATCCGCATCGTCATCGTCACTGATGACGTCATCGGCATCGTCACGTGACCCCCAAGGTCACGTGATCCACCCACCCCCCGTACCCTGCCCTCCTCCTCCTCAAGAGCTGCGCTCCAATTCGGCGTTACAAGGAGTTGTAAACGGCTTTCACTTTTAGAGCGCAGCTCTTAGGGGCCCGTTTCCGGCTTGAGCGGCGTCGGCGTCGCCGTCGGCGTCGGCGTCGGCGTAACCGCGCGGTGCATCATGGAAAATGTCCCATAATGCACCGCGCGAGCCCCCCACCGGGGTCACGTGACCTCGTGGGGGGCACGTGACCCCCCCGAGGTCACGTGACCCCGGTGCATCATGGGAAATGTCCCATAATGCACCGCGCGAGCCCCCCACCGGGGTCACGTGACCTCGTGGGGGGCACGTGACCCCCCCCCGAGGTCACGTGACCCCCGCCGATGTTGCGTGACCCCCCAATGACGTCATCGTCACTGATGACGTCACCGGCATCCACATCGTCATCGTCATCATCACTGATGACGTCACCGGCATCCGCATCGTCATCATCACTGATGACGTTACCGACATCCGTATCGTCATCGTCATCATCACTGATGACGTCATCAGAGACGTCACTGATGTCGTCACCGGCATCCACATCGTCACTGATGACGTCACCGGCATCCACATCGTCATCATCACTGATGACATCACCGGCATCCACATCGTCATCGTCATCATCACTGATGACGTCACCGGCATCCGCATCGTCATCGCCATCATCACTGATGACGTTACCGACATCCGCATCGTCATCATCACTGATGACGTCATCAGTGACGTCACTGATGTCGTCACCGGCATCCACATCGTCATCGTCACTGATGACGTCACCGGCATCCGCATCGTCATCATCACTGATGACGTCACCGGCATCCGCATCGTCATCATCACTGATGACGTTACCGACATCCGCATCGTCATCATCACTGATGACGTCATCAGTGACGTCACTAATGACGTCATCGGTACCCGCATCGTCATTGATGACGTCATCAGTGACGTCAGTGATGACATCATCGGCATTGGGGGTCACGTGACCCCCCTGGTTAGTTTGACCCCCCCCAGTGCCCTTCCCTCCTCCTCCTCAAGAGCTGCGCTCTAATTCGGCGTTACAGGGAGTTGTAAGCAGCTTTCATTTTTTTAACAATATTTTAATGGTGTTTTCGATAATCCGTGGGCGCGCCGCTCAGTGTTGGCGCGCCCACGGATTTAAAAAACAAAACAAAAACAAAAAAACCACTGTTACCGTTATTTATAAATTAAAAGTAACGTGTTACTTTTTACCGGTAACGGTAACGCATTCCTTTATTTCGAGGTAACGTAGGTCGGTAACGTGTCCCTTTATTTTGCAAGTATTTCGTTAAAATTTTTCGGTAACGCCTACAATACTGGTGTCGTCCCTTATAATTGAACACTTTTAAAATGCTGTGTTATCTTTGAACTAGTTCAAAATTATATTTCGTGCTATTTTTTTAGGGTAAAATTCCGACAGGAGCTAGCCATCAAGAAGCAGTGGGACCGAATGAGGGCAGAGCAGAAGAAACAAGAGGAGTCCAAAAACCAGAGGCTAAAATTGCAGGCAAGTTGCAGTTGCATAGCAAAAGTTGACATTTCCCTTATCTTCAATGTCAGTCCTTGTAGTTACAACGTAAGTTTAAAAAGAAAAACTCCATCTCTATTGGGTAGAAACTGTTTAAATTACAGTGAATGATTCCTAAGGCCATCACTGGACCTGCGCCCCATTTCAGCCATGGAAACAATGAACATCCTTATACTGGCCGTTCTTGTTTCACTGAGTTTTGAATGAAGAAAAATACGCATCGATCTGTGAAAATTTTGTCAGGGTACAGGCGAAGCTAGTGAATATTAACCATGTTGAACTAACTTGAGACAGGGGAAGAAGAGACGTATCGAAATTCAGAAGATAAAACAGGACGATGTCTCAAACAGAAAATAGACAGGACGACGTCTCAATCTCAGTCAATCTGTATTTGAATGACGAACGAGACATGATCGCGGTCCGCACAGATGATGCGACTTCTCCCAACTTTGAGCACATTATCGCAGCTTGGTAGGATGACAACAAATTTATTACCTGAAGCGTGTTTTACGAGTAGAAGGAATTATTGCCACGAATGCAGGTGTATATATTTATTACAAATCGCACACGATTTACGTATCCCAGGTGACTTGGCGTCAGTTACCTTTAGTCTTCGCTGTGCTCGAAGCTTCAGTAAAGCGGAAGTTCCGTTTTTCTCCACACCACACGTTGTGAGGCGCCATTCAAATCGTGCGAGTCGTGCATGAGAGCGTACTCTGCTAAATCCTTCGCTTGTCAGAGCGCTCACTCAGACAAGGAACACACTTTTGACCACGTGACCGCGTTCGCGATTCCTACAAGACTGCAAAGAATGTATCTTTCTCATTGTTCGAGAGCGAAGAAAACAGTCGGTGGGGTTCTTTCTCCCGCAGGTCAGACAGCCGTGTCCGTCGTTGCGTCGACCTCAGACAACGCGCGTGTACTTGTTCTCGGTTTTCGGCACCTGAAAGGAACGGACGAATCCCGGAGAAAAGCTCACCGGAGAAAAGCTCACCGGAGAAAAGCTCACCGGAGAAAAGCTCACCGGAAATAAGCTCACCGGAGAAAAGCTCGCCGCGAAACCGCCGGATGCGGAGAAAAGCTCACCGGCCATTGAGCGTATGCGAAGAAAAGCTCACATTTTTTTTCCTTCATTTTATATGGAGGCTGTTGGATCATGCGTAACATATATATCAATTTATTATCATTAAAATTCATCAGCTTTGTAGAAAAGAGTATCTTTTTTTGTAATATTTGTTAAGCTTATTGTGTATATTGCCTCCAATTTAATAATTGCGGGCGAGTGTTTTCTGTGGCTTAATCTGTAGGCGACGAAAGCCAAACTGAAAACTTTATGAACTTGAAGAAGAGAAAAAGTTCGAAAACATAATAATGCCTGCTTAAAACCTAAAAATCGAAATTCTAAATGCCGAAAATCCGAAAGTGCATGCGCAACAACGCGGTGCCTGAAATTCTCTTTGGAGCTTTTGTTATCCTTTGAAAACTGGACAAAACAGTCAGTAGGATGTCGAGACTTTTTCTTCTACGGACATGCACGTTTTGTAGCCGTTCGTGCTGGTGTTTCCACACGTTGCCTTTGTGTGATTTTGCCCTTCTACGGCGAGCCACCCATGACCTTCAGAGCTGCACACTGGCACGTTGTTTCTCGTGACCTATATAAGAATTAGTCTTCTGTAATATAGCGAATTAGTATAGCAAGTTGGTAAACGTTATACATGTTGAAAACCGCTCAAACGACGACGACGGAGTGAAGACAACAAACACGACAGGACGAAGCTGTTCACGCAACTAAAGTTTGTTATTGAAATTAACAGAAAGAAAACAGCGTAGCCGACACTGATTACGTCAGCAAACACCTACTTATTTATTAGGCACTACACAATATTTGGAGCTGAAACGGTTCACACATCGCTGCTCATATTAGCTCGAAAAGTGCAAACCTCTTTATCTGACAGAGCTACCGACGGCGCACTTTCAGCTCTCAATAAATTGTTGCCTTTTTTTACCGGTGTACGATGTTTTGATTTTATACTTGCGGCTTCAATAATATACAGAATGAATGATTACTAATTTCTGAGAAATTAGTAATTGTGCCCAATGAACTTCAACAATATTACAAAAAGAGGATATATTTTTAATGAAGTGACGAATACTCTAAGTTAAAAAAGAAAATCGGCGAGTTTTTCTCCGCAACCGATCAAAGACCGGTGAGCTTTTCTCCGCATATGCCGCTTTTGCGGTGAGCTTTTCTCCGGTGAGCTTATCTCCGGTGAGCTTTTCTCCGCCGCCCGGAACGGACGATACGCGATTCCATGGCCATTACAAATGAAAATCACCGAAAGACATATCCATCGTTAGAAGGAATAACGGTTGACCCGAATCTGATATCTCTTGTGGCACTTTGCACTTCCATCCGTCCGCACAGTCGTTCCTATATTACTCCCCTCCTCCTTGCAGGACAAGGAGTCCTTCGTCAGTGGATACTTCGGTGAGCTTCATCTTGGCCATGGGTGACGCTGAACGGCGATTGCTGGTCGCAGCCTCCGGTCGTCCCGAATAGCTGATGGCAAACATTCCCAAGATCATCGATTTCATTTTCTCCAGATGCCATGTCATGCTTATTGTTCGGGTCGATAAGCTCTTGCAAATAGCTCTGCATGAGAGCCAGCGTTGTCTTCTGTGCTGGACAACGCATATGTCAGCCAAAGGGAATTGGTCTGAAAGCCGACATCAGCACTCTGCGATATGAAATTAGTCTTCCTTATCTTGAAATCGACGTCGTTGGACTGGTAACCGATGTGCGCACGCTAAGCGTATCGGCAAGAAGATAGCAAGCATAATTTCCTTCATGAACTATATCTATAGCACATAGAGCTTAGCCAGCCTTGTTTCTCTAAAACTTAACCTCCCTGAAAAAAAAAAAAAAAAAAACATTTTTTTTGTGCGCGCTTATCTCAGTCAGAGAAGATGACAGCAGTTGGTATACATTGAGACATCCAAAGATTTTCGGGAACTTCAAATTTTAATGATTTCGGGAGAGGTGCCTTATGCCTGGTCTTGCGAGGTTGGATTCGCGCATTACGATGCAACAACAAAAACATCTGCAATGGCCGTACACTTTCTTCAAACTGCCACTTGCCAGCGGGTGATGCAGGTATCTGTTGTAAAGGACGTTGATAAACCGCTCAGTTCTTTTTTCTCCTGTAAATTATATACGATATACGCCAGGAGCCAAGAAGGAGCTTCCGTCCCATAAAACCTGGCAGAGTACTTCGTCCTGCTGAAGATAGCTGGCTTATTGACGCGGCAGTTGTATACTGCGACGGTTGAATGCATCTTGCTATTATATACCAGTCAGACATGTTGCCAAAACAGCCGAAGACACTTGCCCCTTTTTTGCCAGCTCAAATCACACAGCTCAAAACCGAGGACAATTAGAATGAGACGAAGGAAAAAAAAAAAAAAAAAAAGAAATAGCGCTATTATTGTGATGCAAAGACGCAATGAACTAAAGCAAGTTTACATCTTCCATGGAACCGAGTCGTGCACAAAAGCTTGTTGCTCAAACGGTTATGCGTCATAACGTAATATTTCTTGTTTAACTTCTGTCTTGGAAGATAGGGACATGTCCTTGCTCAAAACTCTTTAGCTTCCAAACATGTAAAAAAGAAAAAAAAAAAAAAACGGGTGCAGGATTTTTTGAGCGAGATCGGGGCTTATCTTCCTGATATGTTGCGCGACGCAATGTAATGTGCAATCGCGTACACTGCCACAAATCAGCATTCATGATTTTGTCGCCTGTTGAGATCGAAGATAGGGTTTAAAATGATCGAAGTAAGCGACCCTTTTGCAGCACGCTCAACGGCTATGTCAGAACATGAACGATATTTTCGAAATTTGCTCATGTTTACGGTCAGCACTGTTGAATTTTCGGCACCGATGCACACGGCCATAGACACCTGTATAGAATGGGAGTGAACGGCCTCCGCAACGCCTTTGCGTCTCGCCTTCTGCGTCTTGCGCTTTCACCAAGCTACCGTCGCAAACAACATATACTATACATTAAAACGGCAAAGCGTCAAAATGGAGTTCATTAGCTCGTTTTATTTGGTAACAAGAACGAAACAGATGATTTATTACGCGTATTCTGTAGGCGCCCGACAGTTACTGAATGTTAAAAAAAAGGAAGAGAACAGAACGCAAATTTTTGCCAAAAAGAGTTTTTTTCAATGCTGGTCGTCGTACAGATGTGTGTGGTTCGATTGAAGAAAACGTGTCGTTGCTTCGTCTTTTCGTTCCCGAGTTCGATTATTTTATTACTCAGCAAGATAAATTGTTGACGAGTCAGTCAGTAACCAACTCCAAAGCTCAAGAACAGGCGGGCGTTAGACACCCGAGCTTGTGATAGTTGAGAAAGGGTTCTGAAGCATGGATACATGTATCCAATAAAGCGGTTTACCTGTTCCCTCCTTGTTTTTTTGTTTTTATCGGGAAGTCATGACTTAATTGTGATTGGCTGACGGGCGCCCTTTGTCACCCGACCAAGGGAATATGCGCCTCCCACAATAAGCACCACATGAATGTTTAATCACATTTTTAATATTGAATAATAGGCAGCGCGTGGCAGTAACTTGGCCTTTTTTAGAACGTTTTGAGCACGAACAAAAAGCTATCGTAAAAAAAAAATGAAATCAAAAACCTCTTTAGCGCACCCCTAACGCAGAAACCAAAGCGCGACAGTATGTTCAGCAAAACCTTGTATAACTGTGTTATAAACTTCGTCTTTTAATTAAAAAATGTAATTAACAGCCAGGAGAGAAAAATAACTAAAATAATCTATTGGGCTAGTTGGTTATACATAATAAACACTACAGCGCTAAGGACAAGTAAAACGTAGACAGCACAAGCGCTGTCCTACGTATTTTACTTGTCCTTGTCCTTTGCGCTGTAGTGTGTATTATAGACAAAAAGAAAACTGCACTGGGCATAACTGGAAGGCACCAGGAAGTTGACCAGAATGAATGTTTTCCAGTTACGATTTTTCCGATCTGCTGATTTATCTAAAAAGTCCGTACATATTTTGGACTTACGAAGAACAGCCCCAATCTATCAAAACATAAAATGTCTTAGAAAGGAAGCCCGTACTGCCATAAATGTATGCGT